ACACAGGCCATAGAAGCTTTGTACATAGACAACCAATATTTCTGTAGCCTTCTGATTCTTCTCTTGGAAATATAACTGTAATAGTCATGTTGGGGTTTTTTTCGGTTTGTTTTGTTTTGGGGTTTTTGTGGGGGGTTGTTTTTTGTTGGGGTTTTTTTTTTTTTTCCTTTCTTCTCCCCTGCCCCCAGTTCCATGTTATTGCTGCGATTACATAGTGCTTGCAGCCATCTCTCATTTCTACCCTTCGATTTTACCAGATGGCAAATATACAGGAGGGGAGAACGTATCAAATACTCAAGTTCATGCTCTGCCTTCCAAGAAAAGTGTTATAAGCTAGGTGGGAAATAAGAAAGTCAAATAAGTATTAAATTCACATACACGAATCTACAAGGCCACTACTGTCCAAAGATGAGGAAAAACTTAGAATTAGCCTGTTATACAACTTTCAGTTGTTTGCACAAAATTACTATTCTGCATTCTGGAAATAATTTAAAAGTAGTCTTTGTCAAGCTGTTTGCACATCTGTCTAATTTTAGAAGCTTTCTTAAGGACATTCTTGTGTTTAATACAAGAATACAAATGGAGTGCAAATCTAAGTCAGTTATTGTCAAACTCAACCTACAATGTTTGATTTAAGATTATTGGTATGTTCTTATGAAGCCATTTAATGTATCACTCTCAGTTACACACTCCCCCCAGAAAAGTGCTTTTCTTCACTTTCTGTATTTCTCTTTTTTCTGAAGACAGCTTAATAAACAGTGGTTACAATGTTTTGCTGCAATTTACAAAACAAAATATGAATCACCAACAGAAGTTTTCTGATACTTCAAGAGATTTCATATTGAAGCTGCACATGGACGTATTAGCGTATCTTGCACTGCATAGTATTCACTTCAGCATAAAGCGTAATATTTAAACAGCGAAATCGATACTGTACTCTGTGAATCAGCGTGAGGCTTCTATTTTTACATAATACTTTATTCAAATAATCTGGTTTTACTTAATTATATTATCACACTTGCTTTAAGTCTTCTTACCACTTCAGCTCAGCTGTCCTTGACCTTTCTAGAACAAACCTCTCTTCACCACTGATGTCGGCAGTACAGATCTCAATTATAATCCCAGTAGACCTTTTCATCGTGTGCTCCACTCGGCACATTAGCTCAAATGTTGGTGTGCCTCATTAGGAAAGCAGACTTCCCAACAATTGGGAACTTCTGGCTTATCTCAAAGTGAGAAGAAAATCTGCTCTCCCTCATTTCCTCTCCAATACACTGGGAAGAACAACTCCTACATTATTTCCACAAAGCAGCAGGTGAAAAACTTGACTAAACCTCCTTTCCAGCAACATAACCTTGCCATAGGATAGGACTTAGTACACTGGAAAATGCCTTTCCTATCAGTTACAAAAACACAAGCATATAAAATCACTGTAGTCGTTTATACTTGCTTAAAATACTCTCATGTAATCTTAATTTAGTCTATCAAATACATAAGTGAAGTACTACTGTAATTAGTACAAAAGTTACTTAAACCAGCTTCAATTTGAAAGAAAGTAGCTTTAAAGTAAATGGAAATCAACTGACAGAAGTCCGCTCCCATAATACTGTCTTTTTTATACAAAATTAATTCAAAGTCTTGTGCCATTTATCATTTCTACAATATTGATTTACAAAGTCGCTATGAAACTCCACTTTCTTTTTAAAAAGAGTATTGACTGTACTTCTCTTACCTTGAAAGACTGCAGAAGCCAATTTCAGCAGGTGTTGGTTGCTGTCCACAGCCAGTTTGCTTTGCTCCCCAGGCAAGCCTACACTGCAACATTAGAAACTGACATTCCTCCAAGTGCTTCCCATTTATTTAACAATTCCTTCGAAGCAAACCAGCCAGGACAGAGGCTGAGATTTTTTTGTTGGCCTCTAGATTAACCTGTCACGGAGTCACTACTGAGCAACAGCAAACATACTTACTTTCTGAGTTTTGCCCAGCCTGGTCAGAGCACAGAACCCACACAAGTGTTCAATATACTCACGCCGACATTCCAAGCAAGTCTTTTGAGAAAAAGCTATGTAATTTTATTTGTTGTTCTTTACATATATTCAAGTTACTGAAGGTGTGGAAGACACAAAAATAGCAGTGAGATGCTAGATTTTAACACAGTGTTTAGTATACTTTAAGTGACAAGATGGTTTTTTTTCCTTTTGCAGTTTCAGGATGCAGCAAGCCAATTAAAAACGTCTATTCCTAAACTACTAAAAGCATGTAATAATTTATTAAAAACATGAAATATGTAGTGTTAAAACTTAAGGATCACAAAAATGACAAACTCCTCCTGTTAAATGTTGGCAATATCCCATTATAACCACAACCATTTTTAAACAAGACTTTTTTCAAATACCTAGTTCAGGCACAAAATTTGTAATACTTCTAGAGCTACTCAATCTTACATATTCTGTTCTTCCACAGGTGCTTTTTGTAATGCTACACACAGAAGTCATTAGTAGTTCGATTTTAATATTTTCAGTATAGCATCAGAAGAAATACCTGTATCATGTCCTACCCAGCTTCTAGAAAATTCAGGTGGGCCTAAGCTTTAAAATTTTATCCTAAAAAGGCACCAAAAATCAGAAAAAGACTGCAAAATAGAGGATGAAGAGAGGAGAAAAAAAATTAAAGCAGTATCCTAAAAAGCTAATATTTTCCATTGAATAATGCTAAATATGCTAGCATTTTGTTACTACGTGTAGAGGGCATGTTCTACAACTTTTTCTTTAGTACTAACTAGTGAATAGTCACATACTGGAACCAGCATTTTATAATAACTTATTTTTGCCCAAAAACCTGTATAGTACAAGTAAAATATCTTAATGACACCCTATTGGCATAGACAAAATCAAAGGTATTTGTAACTTATTTTAAATGAGAAATCACTTGATGTCAGGTTTAACTTCGCAGAGTCCATTTTAGTTTAGCTATAACAAGATAAAAAATAAATAAACCCATTACCTCCAATTTTAAATAACTTAATCTGAAAAACATTATGGGGGAAAGGGCCATCCTTGTGATAGGGGAAGCCTTCTGACACAGTCTCATTCACTTCTAACTACAATTTTTAGTATTTCGATTTTTAAGTTTTGCTGTCATTATGCAGAAAACATTGCCACATTTCCCAGCTGGACAGAACTCAACTTCCAATCACCAAATCAGTAGACTTCACTTTAAAAAAAAGCACAAAACCTTATATGCAAAGAGAAAGGACCTTACCTTGGTCAGAAAGACGGAAAAATCTCAGGACACTCTTCCCTGCACAGAGTCTAGTGAAATCAAAGAAAAAAAAACCCACCAAAAAACCAAAACAACACCAGCAGTGGTAACCATTGCTTTATGCCTTAGTATTTATACGTTATACCTCCTCCCTACTTTTTATTGTACAAGTGGAAAGCATGAAACTCAAGTTTCTTGGAAAAGGTACGCTCTCCTCATTGATAACTTCCTGGGAAATAATTAATGGGAGAAGAAAACAAATCATGTCTGGGGGTGAAAATAAAGCTTACCAATACTCCTTCCCAAACGTTCCCTTCCCAGTGGTAAAAAGGGATGCTCTCTAACACTAAACTTTATGTATCTCCTTAACATAATTTCTACCCAGCTTCATCTTTGACTCTGCATTCTCTCCCTTTCAGAAATTTTGTCAAAATGGTATTTTAGAACAACTGTATAGAAAAAAAAAAATGTATTTACTACAGTTGTTTTGTTGGAGATACTTCTCATTCCATCTTGAAACAGAAAATACAGCAATAAAGTGTTGGAGAGAATAATTAATTGGCATGGAGACTTCAAAACAGATATATCCTCTTTTTGTGGGTGTAACTGTAAAAAAGGACTGCACAAAAAGGCTTGAGGAAGTGAAGCAAGCACAGCGACCTAGCTAGAATTTTTTTATTTTTTTTTTTTAGAGGGGAACTGGAAGCTCCTTTGACAGAAACAGGCCAAAAAAAAAAACCTATTGAAAAATTTCAGACCTTGGGAGGCTCCCACTGCTCACTGATTTTCTAGGCTATGAGCCTTCAGAGTAGATTTGTGATCTGTTAGTAGTGAAATAATTACAGGTAATTGCAGATATAGTTACTCAATTGAATTAATATTTAAATACTTCCATCAAGTACTTTAACTCAATTTACATTTTAAGTAGTTGTTTGGTACATAGCAAAATTCTCCTTTTATAATTTAAAAATTAGGAAAAAAAAAATAGCGTGGTTCTCTTCAACCAGTTTTTTAAACAGCAAACAGATGCCAGCAAGCCTTACAACTTTAAGGTCAAACATGAATATAAATGATATTATATGGACAAATTCTAAGATTATTTTTACAGTATGGATTGTAACCTGTAGCTTTTGAAAACATAGCCTGAATTGCCTATAAACCTGCGATTCTTAAGAGTCCTCTACAGTTGTTAAACAAGTGTAAACAAAAAGTACACTTCATGTGTTTCTTCTTGCACTCAAATTTTTATGCACAGCTGATTTTTATATACATACTTCTCCAGTAAAACCATGTATATATATGAGCCACAGATAACAGTAGAATCATTAAGATTTAAGTTAGTATTGCTGCACTTTTATCTAAAGTATAAACAAGTTGCTGAATCTCTGCCACGCTTAAGCAGCACAATAATATTGGGGTTTAAGGTTTATTTTACTACACCAATATTTACGTGCTGCTAGGGCGGAACAAGTATGACAGCTCTTCCACTCATCCGCATGTCAGGAACACAAATTCTTTAATAGAAAAATTTGTATTAGTATCTTCAACTGTTTCTCTTCCTTAAATTTCTAAAGCAGCAAATAATGATTCGCATCTTAATTAGAGCATGCAAACCATGATGTGCTGCTAGAGTACTTTAAGGCCTCAAATACAAGACTTAAAATCTAGACAGTATTTTTTACAACTATAACTGGAAATACAGCTTTATTTAAAATTGGCTTTATTCATACACCAACCTGTAAAATTAAGAATCTGTTATGGTCCAGATCAATTCCATGGCTTCGAAGAAGAATACCAACATCTTTGAATGTCGTTTTCTTTCCATTGATATGGTAGACTGAAGAATTATCTCTATAGGCAGTTCTAGATACACAAAATCTGCTGTTAGGAATGACTTCATAATCATCTCCTTCCTGTTTTGAGGAAAAACAAAAGCCAGAAAAACAATTACTGTATCACAGGTTTACCTCACATTTCACAATTAAGCACAGAAATTTTAACATGTTAGGGTTTTAAGTCAATTGCACTCTCAGGTCTAGTAAAAGTGGGACTGTCTTAAAGCTGCAAATATCAAAAAAAAAAAAAAAAAAAAAAAAAAAAAAAGGGGGGGGGGGGAAATTTGAGAACCAGACAAAAAAATTGCCCAAATAATTTAAACTGAATGGCCTTCCTATTATGCTTTTCTTACCTCTAATACTACCTGTTATTCTGAAAATACTTAATTTATTGTCTTTACCTCTGCTTCAAATCACAAAGGAAAAGACCTGCTAGAAATTTATGCTGGCTGTGCTATTCCACTCTCTAAATTTTAGATTAGGAAGTCTTGAATGACTTAACTGCTGTTTACATTTTAAACTCCTCTTTTATAGTACTAGGAAAAGGAGTTACTTTTAGCTGAGTAGTTCTAAAGAGAAACTGTAAAAGATAAACCAAAACACTGAAGATGTGACAAATATGACATCATCAGCTTCAAAAGATACTTAAGACTTACCTACAAAGCAGCAACTAAAAGCTGGTACTATAAAGCATGCTTCTTGTAAAGACTTTAACTGGCCTACCACTTTCCCAGATTAACCCCCAAGAGCATAATCAAGTTGGTATCTAGTATATGAAGTACTTTTTTGATCATAAAGTTAGCTTCTAGATATTAACAAAGTCAAGTGGAAAAAAAAAATTACAATTTTTGAATTTGGTTCTTATAAATACAAGCAAAAGGTATGTGTGTATGTGTATCAAGTCAAAGAAAAACATATCTGTCTTATAAAACAGTTCCTTCGAAGGCCGTATATATTGCCAATTTATTAACATAATTTTTGAAATTTCAATGTACATTTCCCATTATTTTGACTGACCCCAAACTCAACAGTTGATACTTCAACTAGAATGTGTGCACAAAAATTAAGTTTAAATAAAGATAAATTCCTTGCACTGTAATCGCAATAAATCAACAAAAATGTCCAGAAGTATTTATCAATACATGAAGTGGCAAGCAAAATATTTTTAATTTGCCAACACTTTATTTAAGAAAAATATCAGATTAAAAAAAATTTAGTGGTAGGATGTGAGGTCCATGAAAAATTCGTTTAAAAACTGCAGGCATGTTTACAGTGTATAAAGTGTAAATAAAAAGATTCAGATTCATTATATTTTTCTAAATTTAGATAACCTAAAATAGTTTCTAATTGGTTTGAAAAGTTTTGCTTAAATAGGTTTTATTTCTTAACATATATGCTCACATCATAAATTTAAGAAAATAACATATCCAAACAAGGACTTAAAAATTTGTAGGGGTCCTACTAATTCCAAAAATTAGTTTTACTTACTTGAGGTAAATGACAAAACAACTCTAAAATTACTTCTTAAAATTATTATTACATATTTCTAAATAGTTATAAAAGACATGTACCAGATACTAGTCTTGCAGGAGGAAAAAAAAAAAGTAAAGGAAAACCCCCCTAATATTTTAAGAGATGCACTACTCAAGAGAGAAATTTTTTAAGCTAATTAACTTTGATTTGATGTTTTACTTCCCAAAAGCAAGCTAATCATGCTATGAAGTTTTCCCTAGCTCAAACTAATATAACCAAATACTAAAAGCTTTCAAATCCTTAAAGAAAAAAGGCTGCACTATTCTGAATAGAAGCATACATACCTTGTCAATGATCTTTTGGAAGTGGATTTCCACAGAACAACTCTGGATATCTGTATGTTCGTCAGAATTATGGATCAGCACAGAGAGTTTTTTGGATCTGATTTTTTGTGCTCGATACCCAAACACAAAAAGCATTGAATCAATGATATTGGATTTTCCACTACCATTTGGCCCAATAATACATGAAAAACGCTGCATAATAAAAGGGAAAAAGTGATATTCAAAGGAAAACAGATCCTGGCCATTGTACATCACTCTTTTAATTTATGAAGTTTAAAACACAATTATTCCTAGCACATGAAACTGCAGACTATTCGATAACTTAGTTTTTACTGCCAAAGGTAAAGCAGTACAACTTATTTAATAAAAAAAAAAACAAAACACACCACAACTCAGCTTTCTAAAATTTAACTTGTTAACTCAAAGCAATACTGCATTTAGCAAGTATGTTTGCAAGAAAAGTTTCATGATTAGCCACGTAAGTCTCTTGTGGGCATTAAAAAAATATTCTCATTCTTCAAAACACACCCCTAAAAGTTCTCCAGTAAACGAAATAAAGAGAAAAAACTGCTTTTTTAAGGTTTACTGACAAATTAAATTTATATGGTATGACAAAGTTGCACTTAACTGTCTTCTTTACTGTCCCATGATGAAAATTTAGAATATCATTATGTAAGTAACTCTAAAACTTAAATATTTTTCAGGTATTTTGAGGCAAGCTTACATGAAAATACAGAAAGGAATACTAACACAGAGCAAAGTCTTATCTTCATTTAAAAAAATGCCTAAGGTAAAAGACAGATACCTTATGAAAAGGTCCCAAAGTTTGCTCCCCTGCATAGGATTTGAAGTTCTGGTTTACAATATGAGTTATCATAAGACGAGGAGCGCCAGCTTCATTGGTCACTACTGGAGGTGGGGGAGGAGAGATGCTATCCAAAATCTCTTCTAAACTTTGATTATCAACCACCTCGCTTGAGACTGCTAAAAACCATCAAAAATAAACAGAAAAAAAAGAAAAAACCTGTAAGCTTTCAATGACTAGACACCTTTTAAAATGTTCAACTGGAAAAGCAAACAGTATTTCTATATGAACCAAACCTATACTTCTGCCTGTAATTATTAAAGTGAGCTAAATGGAATTAAAATTCTTTCCATGAACTGAATCTTTAAAAAGAGATACTTAAGATGTCCCATCGATGCACTAGTGGGTTTGTTCTTTCATTATGTAATTCTTATTCTAACACACTTTAATAGGCACTCTGCAATTACAATAGCTACAACCGTCACAATAAGCCTACAAATCTGAAACAGGCAAAGTCTTTCTAATTAATAAGTGCAAAGCCACATTTCAAGCATGCTCACAAGTCACTGCAAGATTTGGGGATCGCTGCACAATGCTCTGAAAGCTGTAATGACAGCACAACTACTCTGCAAAGACAGGAAGTTTGTTACGAAAACAAACTGGCCCCCTGGATATCAGCTAGTTGTAAGCAAAGCAGCTTTTCAACAGTCACTAGCAACTTTTTCTTCAAACAGACAGTAGGTTTTGCTACCAGTTTTAACATATTAATCTATTTGTCAAACACCTTGCTTTAATAATTGCACATCTGGGTACCTAAAAAGACACACAGTGCTGTTTTCTCCAGACATTTTCAGCAAAAAACTCAATTAAAGAAACCCAAGAAAATACACTGCTTCATGAAAAAGAAAGTCAAATCATTTTAAGAGTTAAGTAAATAAACTTGACATTTATTCCATTCCAAGAAATCCCATACCATTGGCTGCATATAAATTTGAAAAATCCTGCTGTTGAACCACAATCTTAAGTACAATGTTACAGATCAGGAATACAAGATAGGCTTTATTAGGAGAAAGTCTCCAAATGGCTTTTGCACTTGCACTGTATCACCGGTCCAAACACCTTAACTCTTTGCAAGCCCTCTATAGCAGTTTAAAAGTAGTTAAAACTTGCCAGGAGTCAAGGCTTTCAACATTCCTTTCTAAAAGAAAAGAGCAAATCCTATCTGGAACAGTTGGCAGATTCAACTGACCGTTGTTGCTGAACAGGCACTATCAGCAAGTTTACACATCATCAGAACCACAATATTCAAACCTACCTTGTGGAGGTACTTGACCAAGCTTTCTGTTGCCTTCTTTTTCCACTTCCATGTCACTGGTGGACTCCTCTAAGGGCTCTCTGCCTTTCCGATGGGCTGCTGTAGAGGCTTTGGTGCTCTTGCTTGGCATGATCTCTGTTGGCTGTTCCATTCCAAGCAATCAGACTACTGAAGGGATCTATCTCCTTTGCTAACATAAACAAGAAAACCCCGTGATCTAAGCATTGAATGACAATCCCCTAAGGAATATACCTACATGTTTGCCCAGATGTCGGACTAATTTAGAAAATAAAGACTAGAGGTATTTTGAAGACAAAAATCCAAATTTGCAACAAAAGCCTCAAGATTTGCCTCATAATGATACACTTTAAGATACATCACCCCTACCAAAACAATGGACCAACCCTAATCTACAGGAACAGCATCAATCTACCTACTGAAACCTCATACAGCCATGTTCCGTGCTCAGAGAAAGCAACCGTGATGCTGGGGGCAAAAGAGTTAAAGACACATTTGCAAAATAACAAACTGAGTAGCCATATGCTCAAACACTTCTAGAAGCACTCTTTACATATGCATCTCAGACCTGACACACATTTTACTTTCAACAGTCCATGCTGACTCTATATTTTCTCTATATATCGATAAACAAAAAGACCTGTATAATTACAAGCAAAGACTTGACTCAAAAGGTTTAAATCAACACACTCGTTTCACAAAATATAACACGATCACTACTGCTAGCAATTAACATTTAACAGAGAAAGCAAAACAAAATACCTTAATCTGGTTGTGATGTTAAAGTTAACTGATCAAAACCGAAACATTACAAAAGTCCATCAGCTGGCACTTAAGCACAGCTCCCAGAAAGTATAAATAGAAAGCAACCGATGAGAAGACGACTGCAGGAGCGAAACTCTCTCCAAAGAGTTTAAACTGCAGCAAGTGGCGAAGTTAGTTCGCAGAAAAACAGACATGAGAAAGTTTACTTCTCACAAGATAAAAAACTGACGTGGTTAGAAAGTCATCTTACAATTGGTGCCAATCATTTGACGTTTTCAGACCTACCCCCAACCCACACTCTCATGAGAGTCCTTCATTTGGGACAATGGGGGAGGGGGGAAATGAGAGAAAGAACTCATTTTAAGGCAATTTGAGTCTATGCCCCTGTTAAGAAGTGTTCCGCAATGGCTGTCTCGGACAATTACAGCCTCTCAAAGTACCAGATTTTTTTTTATTTTTTTTTTCTCAAAGCTGTTCCACTCCAACAGAATTGTGCAATATAGACCTATTTACCTTACCAACCCTTCCCCCCGAGGATACTTCAATAGAATGAACAACCATAACTACTCGACCTCAGCTTTTAAATCGCGATAAATTAGCTGCCACATACTCTAACAAATTTAACAAATTCGTGCCCAGCCCCTCCCCCGAGTCAGCTCAAAGGTGTTTGTTAAAAGCATCTCTCGACGATCGCCTGCCAAGTGCCGTTTTTGTTACGGAGATGGTGAGAGTCAGAGACAGACAGAAAGGCTTCCTTATTAACAGCCGATTAAATATGATAGCGACAACCCATGTCAGCGAAAAGTTTTTGGGGTTTTTTAGTCCATCCGTTAATCAAAGGAGTGCAACTGCAGGCTTATCACCAGCTTTCTCTCTCATACTTCAAGCATAAAAGGAGCAGGCAGACCTATTTATAGAAGGGTCCCTGCTTTGTAAACAGATTAAAATCGGGCGCCTCTGCTGCCGAAACGTACTCCTGTACTTCTCCGTCCGAAGCGGGTCTCTGATTCACGGTCCCCCGAGGTCCATAAGGGCACAGTGGGAAACCCGGAGATCTCTCCCATGGGCTGCAGAAGACGCTCTCGTCCCCCCTCCTCAAACCC